GCTTGATGCTACAGGTAATATTTCTGTAAGTGTTACTTGATGCTACTGGTGATATTACTGCAAGCGTTGCTTCATGCTACTGGTGATATTACTGTAAGTGTTACTTGATGCTACTGGTGATATTACTGTAAGTGTTACTTGATGCTACTGGTGATATTACTGTAAGTGTTACTTGATGCTACTGGTGATATTACTGTAAGTGTTACTTGATGCTACTGGTGATATTACTGTAAGTGTTACTTTATGCTACTGGTGATATTACTGTAAGTGTTACTTGATGCTACTGGTGATATTACTGTAAGTGTTACTTGACGCTACTGGTGATATTACTGTAAGTGTTACTTGATGCTACTGGTGATATTACTGTGTTACTTGATGCTACTGGTGATATTATTGTAAGTGTTACTTGATGCTACTGGTGATATTACTGTAAGCGTTGCTTCATGCTACTGGTGATATTACTGTAAGTGTTACTTGATGCTACTGGTGATATTACTGTAAGTGTTACTTGATGCTACTGGTGATATTACTGTAAGTGTTGCTTCATGCTACTGGTGATATTACTGTAAGTGTTACTTGATGCTACTGGTGATATTACTGTAAGTGTTGCTTGATGCTACTGGTGATATTACTGTGTTACTTGATGCTACTGGTGATGTTACTGTAAGTGTTACTTGATGCTACTGGTGATATTACTGTAAGCGTTACTTGATGCTACTGGTGATATTACTGTAAGTGTTACTTGATGCTACTGGTGATGTTACTGTAAGTGTTGCTTGATGCTACTGGGGATATTACTGTAAGTGTTACTTGTTGCTACTGGTGATGTTACTGTAAGTGTTACTTGATGCTACTGGTGATATTACTGTAAGTGTTACTTGATGCTACTGGTGATATTACTGTAAGCGTTGCTTCATGCTACTGGTGATATTACTGTAAGTGTTACTTGATGCTACTGGTGATATTACTGTAAGTGTTACTTGATGCTACTGGTGATATTACTGTAAGTGTTACTTGTTGCTACTGGTGATATTACTGTAAGTGTTACTTGATGCTACTGGTGATATTACTGTAAGTGTTACTTGATGCTACTGGTGATATTACTGTAAGTGTTACTTGATGCTACTGGTGATATTACTGTAAGCGTTGCTTCATGCTACTGGTGATATTACTGTAAGTGTTGCTTGATGCTACTGGTGATATTACTGTAAGTGTTACTTGATGCTACTGGTGATATTACTGTAAGTGTTACTTGATGCTACTGGTGATATTACTGTAAGTGTTGCTTGATGCTACTGGTGATATTACTGTAAGTGTTACTTGATGCTACTGGTGATATTACTGTAAGTGTTACTTGATGCTACTGGTGATATTACTGTAAGTGTTACTTGATGCTACTGGTGATATTACTGTAAGTGTTGCTTGATGCTACTGGTGATATTACTGTAAGTGTTACTTGATGCTACTGGTGATATTACTGTAAGTGTTACTTGATGCTACTGGTGATATTACTGTAAGTGTTACTTGATGCTACTGGTGATATTACTGTAAGTGTTGGTTCATGCTACTGGTGATATTACTGTAAGTGTTACTTGATGCTACTGTAGACAGCCTGTACTGTCTGCACAGACAGCCCATGCTGTCTGCCAGCTTAGTTCATATTTCGCGCTATGCTGGTGCTGCCACCTAGGCCTTCCCACTTCAGTATGCCCAGACTTGCCTCGCTCTCACTCACACAGCGGCCTAGCATCAAGACACAAGGCCTCCCAGCTCTCTCTCGTGGGCATGGCCCTCCCGGGCCATGGGCACAAACACACAAGCCTGTGTAACCCACAACGACTTAATAAACAAAGAAGCCTCCGAAGATGTATATCATTAACACCGCTCTACAGCACCTACCAAAACAAGCTCGTTATAAATGGTGACAGCGGTGCTCCGCAGCAGTTGTGTTTGCCTGGAGAGAGGGAGGAAGAGGTATGAAGTCATCTTCACTTCATCACCCTACACAAGAAGCATCCGTCTCTCAACGAGTTATCCTGATGTCGTGTCTGCACTTTTGAGCATCCAGACACAGGTACTAGCAGGATCCAGCCGAAATTTGTCGAAATTCTCCGAGAATTGTAAGTGGCGTCCCAGTGACCCCACGCTGTTTCTCAAGTCACGTGTTCAGCGTCACTTGTATGTTGCTGTTGTTGTTCAGCTCAGCACAGCTGTTTCAGCAAGCCAGAGGTGAGTTTTGTGGTGATTTCTGCGTCCAGTGTGAGCTTCTCCACGTGTTTGTGGGTGGAGGAGGAGGAGGAATGGCCAGATGCCCGCCCTGCCATGCACTCACGCACGCTCCTCGCCACCACACCACCACTCACCACTGCCCACTCCCTCTGCTGTGTTTTCTGCTGTTTTTCGTGTGAATTCTTTGCCAGTGCTGTGTATCCGAGTGCTCAAGGCCACTCGAAGCTACGTGGATCACGACGTCACGTGGGTGTGGACGATGTCACGTAGACCTACAAAGCCACGTGAGTTACCAGATGTCCCAGGCCTCATGCTGTGGTCTGCTGCCCGCATCACATCGACGCCACCCACGATGCTGCCCGACTTCATGACGTCACGATGTCTGCTGACGTCACCTCACGATGTCTGCCTGACGTCACCTCGAGATGTCTGCTGACGTCACATCGAGATGTCTGCTGACGTCACCTCGAGATGTCTGCTGACGTCACCTCACGATGTCTGCCTGACGTCACCTCGAGATGTCTGCTGACGTCACCTCGAGATGTCTGCTGACGTCACCTCGCGACATCACGCCTGACATCACATGATGTCACATCGAGTGTTCTAGTAATTATTTCAGTATTGTCGAGAAGATTGAGAGAAGATATATGTCGTGTGTTAATTAATTCCTCGCAGTCAGTGTTCTCACATTTTAGTATGTCTTAGTGTCAGTTTTGTGCACAGAAAAGCATCATTTGCTAGTTTAAGCCATGTTGTACCGTATGTACAGCGGTGTGTTTGTAAAGTTTCCGTGTGTCCAGTGAGGTCTGAGCCAGCCAGACCTGAGTAACACCACTGTGTTAAGTCACCCTTGTGACCAGTGTGTTTGACAGCTATCAGACAGCCCGAGTGACCGAGCCCTCTTGTACAGAAAGCTTTTATGCTCGTCGCTCGTGATGTTCTGTAGAATCGTACCTGCTATGATTCCCATCGAGATTTGTTTCACTTCACCTCCAGACCTTCAGAGTGCAGTTATATGTAGAGAAACAAGTCTGGGGACGCTTAGGCTAACCTCTGCTATAACTCCAACTGTCGAGAGATGATACTCGTCAAGCCGCAGCCAGGCCTGTTGGCAGGCGCTGTGTCAGCCTCGTGTCACAAGCTTCAGTGAGCAGCCTGCACAAAGAATATGTCACTTTGACTGCTAGATCTCTCACTGCAGTCTGGTGTATGATGTTACGACTCCCAGATGTTTCGCCCAGTCGTCTCTGCCACGACTCGCTCCACGCTCGCCGGCAATGACAGCCCAGCGACAGTACCAGTCGAGAAGTGTCCTCCTGAGTCGCTTGCCAGAAGTCCTGCCCAGTTGCCGAGTTTTGTCGACGCGTCACTCGAGGGCACCGGCATGTCGTGCCCTAGGTTGAGTGAAAACCTGCAGCGACTCCTACGATGACTGCTTCACCAGAGGAGACCGTACCCTGTTACGTCACAGCTCAGCCGCAGTGATGTCTCCCGTGTTGCAGTACCTGTCCAGACGCAGGAAGGCGTGCAGTGATGCCCTTCGACGCTCACTGCCTTTGACCACGATGTTTAGCACACCCCATGTTTTTTTCTTCCCTCCATGTAGGAAGTTTTTTTTTCCATGTCCATATGTATATATATGTTTTTATTTTGTGTTCTGTGCCCTGTTCCTACGAGAGAGAGACCGAATTTCTCTTACTACCAGTATTGTCGCGTCGGGACGACGCGCGGTAGGTGGCCGAGCGTATGTAGACAGCCTGTACTGTCTGCACAGACAGCCCATGCTGTCTGCCAGCTTAGTTCATATTTCGCGCTATGCTGGTGCTGCCACCTAGGCCTTCCCACTTCAGTATGCCCAGACTTGCCTCGCTCTCACTCACACAGCGGCCTGGCATCAAGACACAAGGCCTCCCAGCTCTCTTTCGTGGGCATGGCCCTCCCGGGCCATGGGCACAAACACACAAGCCTGTGTAACCCACCACTACTTATCAATAAAGTAAGAAGCCTCCGAAGACATATCATTTAACCACCCGCTACCAGACTACCAAATAAGCACCGTTATACTACTGGTGATATTACTGTAAGTGTTGCTTCATGCTACTGGTGATATTTCTGTAAGTGTTACTTGATGCTACTGGTGATGTTACTGTAAGTGTTGCTTCATGCTACTGGTGATATTACTGTAAGTGTTACTTGATGCTACTGGTGATATTACTGTAAGTGTTGCTTCATGCTACTGGTGATATTACTGTAAGTGTTACTTGATGCTACTGGTGATATTACTGTAAGTGTTACTTGATGCTTCTGGTGATATTACTGTAAGTGTTACTTTATGCTACTGGTGATATTACTGTAAGTGTTACTTGATGCTACTGGTGATATTACTGTAAGTGTTACTTGATGCTACTGGTGATATTGCTGTAAGTGTTACTTGATGCTACTGGTGATATTACTGTAAGTGTTACTTGATGCTACTGGTGATATTACTGTAAGTGTTACTTGATGCTACTGGTGATATTACTGTAAGTGTTACTTGATGCTACTGGTGATATTACTGTAAGTGTTACTTGATGCTACGGGTGATATTACTCTAAGTGTTACTTGATGCTACTGGTGATATTACTGTAAGTGTTACTTGATGCTACTGGTGATATTACTGTAAGTGTATCTTGATTCTACCGGTGATTTTAAAGTATAGCAAATTTAGTATAATACTGAGTAAGGGTATCAGGAGTTCGTCATATTCACATAACTTAATTTATATTTTTCAG